TTTTTCGTTAACGAGCGTTGCCAGCATCGACGAGATCATCGAGGAAGAAATTTTCACCTCGATCTTACGTAAACGCGTACGGAGGACAGGCTTCGAGGATAATAATCGATAACGAACGGGAACAACGATCCTGAAGAACGGAAGGAAAATAATTAATCTCCAACATTATTTACGAGCGTTAAACGATCATCTCGTACGAATCATTGACAATCCGTACACCTCGAAACCCCGAGCTCTGTAAGCGTTCCCTGTAAGCGGATAATCTTAAGTAAACCTAGAAGAGGACTCGTCACGTTTTATCGTTCTCCGTACGACATCGTATCCGCGTCATTTTGTCAATGAGCCAATTCCAAAGCCCGAGCACAGCTTCGACGGTACAACGACGATTATCGATCAACTTCAACAAGATTGTTCGCGATTGTTCTTTTTTTTTTCTTCTTTTTTTCCGTAATAATTCACACTATCGTACACAAATCCTCGGCGTTTTTATTTTTTTTTTTTTTCGTCACACACTCGCACGATTGTTGAACTGGAGACGACAGATCCGTTGGCGTGGACTTGCGCCACGCGGGTGCACGCAATTCTCGAAAAGGAAAAAAAAATATATATATATATAAACGGAAACAGAAACAAAGAAGAGTCGAGAACGGCCGGGGAGGGCCGTGCCCGCTTATGGCTAAGAAAACGCGGCAACCAGTAGTCGCGTTTTAAGTTTGAGCTAGAAACTCGTTCACGATTCTCGTTCATCCGTGCCGAACGCGTAGAGGTCAGAGATGCGTCGATCGTATCGTGGACCTTTCTTCGTTATCAGGAACGAACCACCGTTGTTCAAGAGGGATCGACGATCAACCCCCTTGTTGCGCGATCCCTTCTCGGAAATGAACGTGTCGCGCAGAGATCCGATCCTCGAGTACAACAACATGGTCCCCGAGCAACGAAGAAGCGCACGATCGTTTTCTTCTTCATCGATCGATTGCCAATTGCCACGAAAACGGCGTGGTCTCGAGAGCGAGAAAGCTTATCCATCATCCCTCGTGCAGGAAGACGAAGAGGACGACAAGAAGACGGCGCGACGCGGCGGGACCGTCCTAACACTCGCTGCACGAAGGGGGTGGCATCCCGCGGCCGGTATACATGTCCGTCTGCGGCTGCAGATGACAGACGACCGTGTGCCCGTCCAGAACCGCGACTGTTCTCGTGTGATCCGGCTGAGGCGGTATACCGTAACTGGCCGGAAGCCGGGGCAGCTCGCCCCTCTCGTACCATGCCTGCTGTTTCCTCAGCTTCTCCCAACAAGTGTTGAGTGTCCTCTCGAACGCGGGGCTGTACTCGTCACAATGGATATTCCCTCCTCCGCCTCCGCGATCCGTCAACGTTTGCCCGTAATGCATGAGATTTCTATCGGTGGCGGGCGAGTAAGGGATCAACGGCCTGTGATCGCCGTAACTTCTCGACGATTGCCTGCTCATGTCGCTCTGCCTCCTCCCATCCTCGTCCGACATGTCCGAGACTTGGATCTCGCCGCCTCCACCCCCGCCTCCCCGCTCGATCTCCTCGTAGACGGGCTCGTCCTCGTTCGCCAGGTCCCGCGGCAGGTGCACGTGTTGGCCGTGGTGGGCGTGCAGCTGATGATGGCCCGGCCCGTTCACGCGCCCGTCGATTATCCCCGCGTCTTTGTGCTTGTAAGGCAACGCGGCTCGCCTGCCGCCCCCGCCGCCACCGGTCGTCCTGTTGCCGCTCATCTCGTTCCCCTCGTTGATCCCTCTCGCGCCGCGGTTCCGCCCGGAGTGGCCCAGGGTCATCGTGTTGTGCGTCTTGGGCGAGTCTTCCTGCTCGGAACCGCCGTGCCCGGAGTCCCGGGAATACGATTTAAAAGAAATGTTCTGCGGGAGAGACAGATTAAGATTCTCGTGAGTGACTGCGAGATTACTGCGACGAGTCGAGGATCATTGGAGTATAGAGTATACGGTATGAAGGGAAAAACACAAAGTGACGATCGACGAGTGTAAATTATGGTATGGTGACGAGGGGAGGAGGGATCGGTGTGATCGGTGGCGAACGCGCGAACAAAGATCCTTGCGAACATTTCTGCGGACATTCTTTTCTTTATTTTCGAATCAATCAGCACGTTTACTCGAACGGAAACGGTTTCTTCGTTCGACCGCAAAGTCGCGAGAAGATCGCGAGAATTACAAGGATCTTGTTCGCGCGAAGGGTGGCGACGAGTCTCATCGAGGACCAACCTCGATGATCTCGGGGATGTTTTTCACAAAATCCACGAGCTCGCATGCATGGTCGAAGGAACGAGCGAGAAGATTCGGTACGTGCTGTATGATATGTACAAAGGCTATGATCATGAGGAGACACGTTTCGTAGCATCGTCATTCTCTCGCTACGGAATGAAAAACGAAAACGTAAAAGAAAAAGGAAAAACACACACACACACACAACGAGCTACGCGTTCGTAAAAGTACAGGCGTTTTCCTCTATCTTTGAAAAAAAACTGAACACGGTTTTATATATATGTGTGAGTGTACGTACGTTCTTCGCGATCATCGTCGAACCTCGAAATCACAACGAACAATTTTCTCTTGAAAAATGTTCTCTTGTTTGTACGTTTCGATTACTTGGTTATAAAATCGCTTCGAGAAAAAAAAAAAAACTGAAGAAATTCGAAGCGATTTCGAAAACGAATATGATCGCGATTGAACAAAGAAGAAGGGGGAGGAAGGGGAGGGGTTGCAAGCTCTCGTTTGATGGAACATTTTTTTCACCGGAAATGATTTATCCCCACACCTCCATGCGATTTTCGAAGCGGTTTCGGGTGTCTAATTTCGAATCGCGCGAGGTGTCCTCTAAGTGTGCAAAACGCGTCTTCTAGGTGCTTGTCATTGATAAAAAATATAGACCGATAGAAAAGGGTTAAAAGAAATACCTAGAGAACTAGGTGTGATGAATTAAAAAACGTGAAAGAGAATGGAATGGAGAGAATAAAAAACGAAAAATGAAAAAATCATGGCACACCATGCAATCAATTGAGAGAAACAATGGCGGAAGAACATAGTGAGAGAGAAAAAAAGGAAAGTTGGAACGAAACAACACGACACGAGCGAGCGAGCGAGCGAGCGAGCCTTTTTTTTTTTTTTTTTTTTTTTTTTTTTTTTTTTTCTTTTTTTCTTTTTAGCTGCGCTGAGTTAGTTACCTTCCACATGAGGTTTTTGTTAAGGTGGCCCCAAGTGGCGGTGGCAGATTTGGGGATATTGGGAGCTGAGGGTAAGAAGGCGTGACGGGCGTAGGGCAGGGTCGCCACGATGTGAGCCTCTGTCGAAGAGGATTCACGTGGCGCTGTTACTGCCGGCTGCCTATCGACAATCGCCCAGCTTCGACCGGACGCCAAGTACTGTAAAAATCGAACCATTCGCCGTTCCCTCTTAACCCTTCGTTTACTGATACGGAATGGGGATGAGATCGAGTGTTGTGTCCTCGATGAATCTGTGTATATACGTGTCTGGATTCAAGTGTTTTTTTTTCTTTCAAGAGGAATGAATGTTTGGAACATATTTCTTGTTGGGATCTATGTGTGTCCATACGAACGTTTGGAAAAAATTGTTGTGAAGGAATTGTTATGCAGCTACGTATTACAATTATTACAATTTTTGTAATTTTGTCGTATATAATAATGTAATTGGAAGTTACGTCGATGATAGACGATTACCCGCGCGCTGCAATACACGAGAGTATAATACGCTCAGCAGACAATACTCGAAAGATCAAGTGATTAAACATTGGAGACACAATAGGGTAACACAATGGAACACCGATGTCTCGAGAGAACATTGAAACGTCGAGTGGAAAGGTTGCCATTATGATCATTAACTTCTCACTAATTGCCCGGCTCGTTCCAATATTTAATTAAAAAAAAAAAAAAAAGAAAAAAAAAAAGAAAAGTATCGCAATTCACCAGTAAACAAAGGGTTACTCGCGAAATCTTTTCGGGCAAAGCACCTTAAAAAAAATCCACGCGTTCTTTCAATCTCGACGTTAAAAGCTCCGCGCGTTTCTTTCTTCTTCAATCGAGAATTTTCTTTCCTTTTCTTTTTTTCTTTTTTTTTTTTTCTCTCCTCGAAACTAATTAATCCGACGAGGTTACTCGCGATAAATACGGTCGACGTGTAATCGTTCTCGCTAGAGAACGAGAAGGATTAACCGGATTCTCGTGCGCGACAAGGTTTAAAAAGGAAGGTTCTCTAACCCTTCGAAAGCGTGGCGCATATGGACGAGATAAATCCGATGATATCTCGCGGAGGTGCAATGCTCGCCGGAAGTGTGGCGGATTTAACTCGTGCACGGGCAAAATCTACGACGTAACGGACTGAGATACGCGATGTGAGCACGCACGCACACCTTGAACGGAAGTGTGCGTTTGTCCTGGACGAGGGTACGATTTCCAAGATTTTCCTCGAACATCGTGGCGAGGAAATGTGTGAAAATTCTGAAAAATTTAATCATCTCTCTTGATCTTGTCGACGAACGTTTACCGGATATTGAAATTTCTTCGTCCTCTCTCCTCTCTCCTTCATTCATTCAGATATAATCAATTTATTTTAGTAAACTCTCAAGAATTTATCGATCTTGCTCGAACATGATCGATCGGTTCGTTGGTCGAAAGGAGGAGCCATCCGTGATGGAGCAAGGTGAGGTGCAACGGAGATCGGGGGGAACGAGTCCTCTTTGTTTTCTTATTGTCCGTAATGAGATAACGTCGGGAACCGGCTCCTCGTTTGCGCGGTTGACGTGGAAGACGACCGGGCCCCGTATCGTACCGATCATCGGCGGTGTCGAATAAAATTACTCCACGCACGACTTGCAAAATCTTTTTGGCAACGAAACCGATGAAAATCCAATTAATTCTCCCCGTTCACTCGGCTAATTATTTTAGATTTTTCGAGTTTGCGTTCTCGATTTAAAGGGCACGCCTGCGTCTCGAACGCGAGCTGGATCGTTAAAGGTTTCGATGATCCGTATTGATCCCCCCCTCCCTTGCCTCTCGTCGTGCGAGAATACGTATCTAGTGTTAATTAGCGAAAACGCACGGAGCAAGGGGAGAGAGAGAGAGAGAGAGAGAGAGAAATAGGAAAAAAAAAGAACGATTTCTGCGTCTCTTTATGCGTGTGCGTATGTCTGCTGCGTTTGCTGCGGGTGTATACAGAGAGCAAAAGTGACGAAGAAAAAGAAGGGTACGTGTGTACGAGTTGTGCGTTGCAACAGGAGGTGTGAGAGAGATGTGAAATGTTGATCGGTTCGACGAGGTTTTTTTTCTCGTCTTTTTTCTTTTTTCTTTTTCTTTTTTTTTTTTTCTTTTTTTTTAAGTATATATATATATAGCTTTCTCTTGTCCTCGTGCTTAAGTAATCGGCCGTGTGACAAGTGAGCAGCCCAAAGAGCGTCTCGACGCTTGTGATGTGACGTGCGTTTGACAGGCTGTGAACCGAACCGAGAACATCGATCGGAGAGCGCGAGAATATTTTATGAAAAGGAAAACGAGAGAAAGAGTTAATTCGAGCGCTCTTCGATCGAACGATCGCTTGACAGTGAGCAGCTTAAAGATAGTACTAGATTTCGATTGCGTGGACAGAATTCGAAGAGAAGAAACGGGGGCAAATATCGTATATTCTTATGGTCAAGAAAATGTTTTCTATGTGTATATATATATATATATATATCGATCGTATTCTGTCCACGCGATTGGATAAGAATAACATTACACGCTCGTACATTACGAATCTTTCTCAACGTATATACTTCCTTTATGGTCTATGAAAATTCGTTTCAATTTCCTTAGTGACAGTATTACCGGTCGGCTCACGCATCAGTGCTTCGAGAGTAAAAAGGATAAGCGGCAAACAGGTTTGCGAGGAAGCCAGTGGCTGATACGCTAGAGCAGATGCTATTAGTCGGAATGCAAGATCTGTCTTCTCGAACCTCGCGATGCAAGCTATATTCTATTAATATTTTACGCGTATTTTAATATATATCACGTTAATATTTCAAAAGGTAAAGAATTTTTTCAATGTTTCGTTGCTGTTATTCAAACTACCGTTACGTGAATCGCGTCGATTCGCTGTTAGGATATCGAAGCGATTCTTTTCCCGGAGAAAAAAAAAAACAGCGAGCAGACAGAAAATTTGAGGCAGGCCAAAAGTGTAGCAGTTGGGTCGAGAGTCGTCGGAGGCGCAGCTGCGAAACCGATTGTACGAATCGTAGATGTTACAGATTCGTTACGTCTCTCGTAGCGTGAGTACCCGGCTGTAGAGAAGCGTTTCATTAACGATCTGAAATCATCATGTGAAATAAAATGTGAAGGAGGTGAGCCATCGTCGAGTGCAACATCGTTGCTCGCGCTTCGCAATAAAAGTGACGTCTCGCGACATCGAGACAAGAGGGGACGAAAGGAGGAAGGGAAACAGGAGGAGGGTACAAAGTAGCCAGCAACCGCGTTACACCAAACCCAGAGCCAGATAAGAAGCACGAAAATCACCATTGTTAGTAGGAGGGTCTTGCAAATAGTACGTTCGCGTGTTTACAGGTGTGCAAAATCGAGCGAGAGAGCGTGCCATGTATTTTTTTTTTTTTTTTTTTCCGCTTTGTGGTCGAGGACCGAATGCTATATTGCTTACCGCGCCGAGAATTCTTCTTCTCTCGTTCTTTCTCGTTTTTGCCGCTATATCGATATACCGTTTCCTTCCTATTTTATTTCTTTAACGTGCGTTATACATCCACGAGAAAATGGGACGGATCTCATGAATTTTTTTAAATAGAGAGAGAGAGAGAGAGAGAGAGAGAAAGAGAGAGAGAGAGCGAGAGCGAGAGAAACAGTTATATGCGAATACAAATTCATAAAAAATCATGGTGTTACGAAAATATTTTTATTTCTTCGGTTTTTCGGGTTTCGTTGAATGTTTGAATTGAAAGCATTTTTTTAATATCTTCCAAGCGCGTTCGAGCTCCACGTTAACAATTATACAACTGCAACAACCCGGAGTTGAATAGAAAAAAAAAAAAAAAAAAAAAAAAAAAAAAAAAAAAAGAAAAAAAAATAAGAGTGCACATCGTGCCGTGCCCGCGTCGTTTATTTTTGCGAAAACCACGAGGCACGCGCGTTACGAGCCGTTCTAAAATTCGGCGACTTTACAGCGGTGCGCCATGGCAAATTCACGAACAACCGCAACGAAAAAAAAAAAAAAAAAAAAATACAACGGAAAGAAGAAAGAGAGAGAAAAAAAAAAAGTTTCAATGGTATACAATTGTACATATAATTGTCATATATAACGTGTCGTTCATTATATCCAGTCGGCTCGTGTCTAGTAATCTCTACCAAATCCGATAAATTCGGCCCGACAATTGGCAATAAATTTTTTCCAGAGAATACAACGACACAACGACCGCACACATCCAACTGTGTTTATCGTTTCATCTACAACCGTGTATCGTTGTTTTATCATACAAATCTATGGCATGACCACGTTCAATAATTTTTTCTCTCTCTTTCTCTTTCTCTCTCTTTTTTTCCCTCTTTTTTTTCTCAATTTCTCTCTCTTTTTTTTTCCCCCAAACCAACCTTTGAATATCGTTCTTCACATACTTCCCTCTCTTCCTAAATATACTCTAACTTTCTCGATATAATATATACATT